TCAAACCATTGATTACTACCCTTTGAGCACAACCATCCAGCCAGTTTTCTATCCACCTTCCAGTCCATACTTATATGGGAATTATCAAGTGCACAAATGCAAGATAGGGAATAGATATGGGGTTCTAGTGGATCACTTTACCATGAGTTAATGTAATTTTATTGCAAAAAAAGTGATCATCATATTGGGATCTTTAAAGAGAGGTGCCATATGTAAGACACACAAGGTAACCTTACACCAGTCTACTCAAGATCAGTAAGGTTTCAACTGAAGTATTCTGCCTAGTTCTAGACTCCACACTCCCAGAGGAGTATGACCAGTTAGAGAGAGTTCGGAGGAGAGCACCAAAAATGATCAAGGGGTATAACAGAAATGGCCTATGAGGAAAGACCAAAAGCACTGAGTTTCTTTGGTCTAGAGAAGGGGAGAGTAAGAGAAATCATAACAGTTCCAAAAATATAAAGCACTTCATTGTTCTCCATGTCCCCTGGGGACAGAGCAAAAACAACCTGCCACCAAAGAAATGCAGAGTAGGTCATAGAAAAAGCTTTCCAACTGAACAGATAGTTAAACACAAGAGCAGGCCGGAAGTGGAATTTCTGTCATTAGAGGCTATTAGGAGCAGATTAGACAATCAGGAATGGTAGTACTGTAACACTGTCATGGGGAGAGTTACAACTTGGTGTTTGGGGAAGGGAGGTGCAAAAAACCCAGCCACCACCACCACCACCAGCCAAGAGCTGCTGCTCTCCTAGGTACCAGTGTTGCCGTGTTTTGCTCTGAGAAACTGTATAGGAATAATGGATCCTCCCTTGGGACAGGGAAATTGGTTGGTGACCTTGTTGGGTTTGAAGAAGAATGGAGGAACTATGGGAAAGAATGTGGATAGAAGACTGAGTAAAACAGAAGGAAACTGAGGTGAAGGAAACAGTGAGGGGAAGGAGAGAAAGTAACCAAGAAAGAAGGAAGGTGTGAAGTACTAGGACAAGTACATGGAGACTGGACAGCCAAGTAGTCCAAGTAATAAGGAACTGAGTGAGATGGAAGGAGAGCATTGACTAATGGCAATACAGAAATGAGATAAAAGGCCCAGAGTCCAAATCTTTAGTGCAACATTACACTACCGACCAGAAGGGGCCAATATGCTTCCTTACTGAACCCGAAGCTGAATCAGCATCAGACAGAAAGAGTCCAAATCACACACTATAATTATATGGCCTCCAGTCCCCAGAACACACTCCCCTCTCAGGGCAGAAAGTTTAAACTCATGACATAGAGCTAGCCATGCACGCACTCTATAGCCCAGGGATTCCCATCAATGTTACTTCACGGTCTGGGCTCCTGGGGCTGCACCCAAGTTACAGAGTTTGGGAGATGACAGGTGACTCTTCCCTGCTGCTGTTCCCCATAAAAGGAAGGAAACTGCTGGGCAATTGCTTGGGACTCATTTGTACCTTTGATTCCTAACCTAGCTCTTGATAGGTTCACTCAGCAAGAAGTAAAGGGCAGGCAATCAGTACTTGGAACAATAACAAAGCAAACGTGCCAGTCAAGATAAAAGCAATTTCTTGTACCCTGCTGCCATGGATCAAGATACTGAAGCCCTTTTAACTCTTGTCTCTGAGAACTGTAATATTTCATTCTGGTGAAGACTGCAAGCAGTCTGCCTGATTAGGATTTTCTCTGTTATATAAGTATGAATGAAATGTTCTCTATGGGTACTGCACATGAACCCAAGCAGCCTCATGCCTATAGAGGCACTGGTGCTGGATCTATTCCACAGCGGCCAAAGGCAGGGGTTGGATTACATTAAATATTTTAACGACATCTCAGAAAAGAATTGTCCTTATTACTATCAATAATAGCTGGAAGACGTACAGCTATTATGGCATCAGGTGGCATTAAAACCCTTTAGTGTGAAAAAAAGAATGTGTGCTATGATATAGCACACATTCTTTTTTTCACAAGCTGGCGGAGGGAAGGTTTAAGTTGGATATCAGGAGGCGCTACTTCACGGTCAGGGTGGCTAGGGTCTGGAACCAGCTTCCAAGTGAAGTGGTGCTGGCTCCTACCCTGGGGGTTTTTAAGAGGAGGTTGGATGACCACCTTACTGGGGTCGTTTGACCCCAGTACTCTTTCCTGCCATGGCAGGGGGTCGGACTAGATGATCTGCTCAGGTCCCTTCTGACCCTAAAAGCTATGAAACTATATCCCAGACAATGATACACCAAGGACCTCTTCCAGTAATGACATATTAAAGATGCTGCTTTAAATATTTAACCCTCCAATTAAATGGCTAGCCCTCTATATGCAAGATATTTTGGGTAGGATGTGATGGAAGGGGATTATTGCTTTCTAGTGATAAATGTCAGATTACTCAAATCTCAGCAGGCATGCATTTATATACCAGGAAAATACCTTGTTTAGCTTCAGTTCATGTCAGAAGCTGAAAACAGTACATCTTTTTTACTTACTTTTAGGCCAGGTACAGACATTACACTTTTACCAGTATAAGTGTTAGGAAACTGGTTTATACCTGTAATAGAACAGAAGTTCAGCACATGTAGACTGGTTTAAGAATGGCAGAACCTAGACTAAGTTTTCCACCCCCAACCAAAGAGTGAATGCGTGTTCTGTTCCTACCAATCTAAACTATGCCACTTACAGAAAACTGCGTAAGTTAGATTGATTCCACCTTCAGCTTTTTTAATGTCTGTACCCAGCCTCTATTATAAAAGAAAGGAAGGAAGCAACCATAAGTAGGCACCTCCACTTGAAAAGCAGAGGGCACTGCATGCAGACACACTCATTTTGTAGAATTACACTCACAGAAGCACCTTCCACTGCAGTTTCCTCTAAAAGGGATCAGAAGAGAGGTTTCTAACACAATGCAAATCCAGCTGGTTTAGCAATATTGTGTATATTTCAGTTTAGGGCACTTAGCAAGGCTTTTCATAGTATCCATCTACCTATGCTCATGTTCAACCAATTTTAACTTCTTTCTTATTTCTGTAGATTTGTCAAGAAAAATCCCATCTCCTTTATTTTGTTTAAACCAGACCAACCAGCATATTTGGCTAATAATTAGACACTTGACGTGCAATGTGGAGAAAAAAACAAACTGAGCATAGGAATAGCTGTGAAAGGGGAAGGAAACCCTACCTACAAACTACAGATATAAAGAAGGCCATGATCATCTACCAAAGCAGTGTCACAGAATGGATAGTGAAGGCTTGTGGAAACCAGGAGGAACAAAACAACTAAGAAGGAAGAATAGCAATAAATAGGTTCAAAGGAGTTTCCCTAATAAGTCTCCCCACATAAAGCACTTCAAAACAAGTCAAATACTGATAATGCTTAAAAATCA